TCCGGCGCGGCGCTGCTTCGCCCAGGAGGCGGCGGCCCCGGCTGGTCGTGGGGCTTGTGGATTTTTAAAAATTTGGCTACGAGGAGGACCATTTCCTCTCGACATGCATCCCTCCGGATAAACTGAACATCCCTCCGTCCACCCCCCGCCCCGCGCGGCCAGAGGCAGGCGCTGAGTGTGCGAAGAGGATCCGGGTTGAAATCTGCGCCCCCGGTTCTCGTCCCCGCCCCGTCCCACCGCCCCATCCCCCTCCCGGAGTCGAAATTTCCCGGGATTATGTTTCGGAAAGGTAGGTAAGCGCCGGGCGCGGCGCCCGCTTTCCCGCAGCCCAGAGTCGGAGAGCCAGCGAGGCGGCAAGGCAGCCCCTGCGGCTTGCAGCGGAGCCGACAGCTCGTCTTCTCTTCTGGAGGTGCAGCTGGTGGTCGCGGGGAGAGACTTGCTCCAAACACTGACATCCCCCAGCTCTCCCCCCTCCCTGTTTTCCGTTAGGAACCAGGCGAGGAAATACATGCACTGGCTGAGACTCGCCCGCGCCAGGGCGCAACGCCACAAGGTGTAGGGAGTGTGTGGGGTGGGGCGAAAGGGGACCCAAGAGTCCCCTGTGGCTCGGAGTGCCGGGCCGTCGGTTCTTCATTCCTGCCCTCGGGGCAGACGGAGTGACCCCGGCCCCCACTCCCCGCCCCGACCATGGTAGTGTTCAATGGCCTTCTTAAGATCAAAATCTGCGAGGCCGTGAGCTTGAAGCCCACAGCCTGGTCGCTGCGCCATGCGGTGGGACCCCGGCCGCAGACTTTCCTTCTCGACCCCTACATTGCTCTCAATGTGGACGACTCGCGCATTGGCCAAACGGCCACCAAGCAGAAGACCAACAGCCCGGCCTGGCACGACGAGTTCGTCACCGATGTGTGCAACGGGCGCAAGATCGAGCTGGCTGTCTTTCACGATGCCCCCATAGGCTACGACGACTTCGTGGCCAACTGCACCATCCAGTTTGAGGAGCTGCTGCAGAACGGGAGCCGCCACTTCGAGGACTGGGTGAGTCCGGCGCCTCCACGTCGGTCCGGGAACCCGGTTGTGGGGTCCCGGGGAAAGACTCGCTGGCCTTGATCGTAGGGGTCCGGGACTTATTGACGACTGGGGTGTGTGTGTGTGTGTGTGTCTGTAAATCTCAGTTTCCTTGAGGAGGTACACTTCACTTCGTAGTTGGGGAGAAACAGGCACTGGCGAGGAAGATGAGACTTGGAAAGAGGATGTGGCCCTCTGCCCCCTCCGTGCCCTCCAGATGGTGGGTGCTGCGGGAGGTTTGCAAACTGGGAGAGCCTGGGCCGCCGGTGCTGAAGGTTGGCCGAGGACCCGGCTTTCTTCCGCAGGCGCGTGGTGGGCTGGCTGTGTGTGATTGTGTGTGGGTGGGTCCCTCCGTCCTTGGAAAGGCACGTGGAGCCTTTGACTGAAGGCTTCTTGCACGTCCTGGCTTTGTCCTGCTTAGCCGAGCGAGGAGTTGCTTTATTTTTCCCTCCGAGAGGGAGCTGGCTTGTTTCTGTTCTCCTGCATGGTGGTTAGCTCATCTTCTGACATACGAGTAGAAAAAATGTGTTCTCCTCCAGGATGTCTCCTCTACGGTCCCAGAAACATCAGTCGGGCTTGTTTTGTCCAATTCATTGCCCATCCATGCAGAATGAATGTTGCATTTTAAGAAGGGTTCTGCCTGTGGGTAATTGGAAGTCAGCGCTTTGAATCTTATTTAAAGTTATATTGTTTCTCTGTTTTGATTGTTAAGATACTGTGCAATAAAAGACGATTTCTAAGCCTGAGATTGAGTTGTTAATTGATTTCATTGTGAAACTATTAAGGATTTGGAAATAGGTCTTGTCTCAATCTACTATAAACCAAATGCATCCAACCTTGGCACTTGGACAAGCGAAGAGAAGGAAACCTTCGTTTTGCTTTTTGTATTTGTTTTTGGGTTTTGTTTGTTTTCTTTTGCTCTTCTTGGAAGGAAGGTATTAATTTAGGACATGGATTTTTGTGTTTTCAGGTTTGTTACATGTTTCCACCAAGAGCAAGTGCAAGTGTTCCTCTGGAGGTATATGCTTTCGGGGTTCTTTGGTCTACAGAAAAAGTGAGAGAGCTATCTAAGCCTCAAAAGTGGTGTAGAGCAATTGCTTTCTGTTGAAAACCAGATAACTTCATGAATGTCCTAGAAGTCAGAGGTTGCACATGAATCACCTTGGCATATCACCTTACATATTTTTTTCAAGGACACGGAGTTTTAGGGAAAAATAGGAGAGAGCCTGTTGTTTTTATGCTCATGGCTGTGATGTAGTCTGCCTGAAACCATGGTTACGGTTTCACAGGAAAGCTCCAACAAGCCACATGCGTAGAACTCTAGATTTGTGGTTTGCACTTTGGAAAGCAGGCAAACCTTTATGGAATCCTGAGAACTCCATGCCATTCTATTCTACTTCACAGATGTCCCTCATCTCTGCTTCCCTCAGCCCCCACAACAGAGCTCCCACTCATTCCCCATTTCCTTTCCATGCATGGCCTTTGGGCTCTTTCCTCATGGAGGCAGTGCATATGAGAGGGGGAGTGGAAGGGCTAACTCATTTCAGAGGCAAACCTTGACACTGAAAACCTGTGATTTTGGAGTTGTTGTTTTTGGACAGGAAGGGGACGGAAAAAACTTGACGCTAGTAGCTAGGAGATGGGGGCCTTTTGCAGTGTATGCAGTTGAGGGGCTTTGACAGTGGAGCAGAGAGCAGAGACAAGGAGCAGCAGGTCTGCATTTATCCATAGAACAGATGTCGGTTGGAGGGAGAGTGTCTTTGTATCTCTGGTGATGTTTTGCTGGGGCACACCACAAACTCTGGGAGCTTCAGGACACTGTCCCCACCTTCATCACTCCTAGTGAAGCATGTAGTGGGAACTTGTTTGGTGATCATCCTCTAAGGTTCTCAAATTCATGTTGGATTTTGGCCCTAGACCAGATCATTTAGTGCACAGGCAAATTTTACAGATGAGGACATTGAGTTCCAGAAAAGTTAATTGGGGACCGAGGGTCACGTGACAAGCAAAGGTGGGTTGGAAGTAGGGCTCTCACCTCCTGTTGCCCGTGGCTTGTCTGATGGGGAGCCAAGCCTGTCCATCTGGCCTGCCAGCCTGTTCTCCCTGCAGATCCATGAGCTGTGTCCCCGACATTTTTATTGTGCTTGATAACTTCATCTCTTTTGCCTTATAGCAAGTGTGAATTAGGTATGGCAGGTGTTGGACAAACTAAAAAACTTGAGATAGAGAAGCCCAAAGTCTCAAGGGTGAATAAGTGGTGGAGCAGGTACAGAATGCCCATCTGTTTTCACCAGAGGATGCTGTGGCCACTCTGGTTCTTCCAGGCTGAAGGTGGGGACTCACTGGTAGGGGTAACTGGCCCTTGGAAATGGAGACAAGTTGCAACTGGGCTAAGTTCACCTTTCCCAGTCTTAACATTCAGGGTAAACCCACGGGTTCATAGCTTTGGGTAGAATTCCCTGGGCTCAGGTCTCTGCACTCCTTACCTGGCAGGAATGAAGAGACACAGCCTTCTCAGGTGTGGCTAAGAGATCTGGCCTGAAGTAAGGGGGTGTGGACAGCATGAAGCAGCCGCTTCTCTCATTGCTGCAGAACATCGAATTCAACTGCACTTTGAATTCACTTGTATTCCTGGAGTTCCTGTTTTGTGCTCATGTCTAACCAGGGAAGCTTCGTACTGTGGGCAATCCAGAGGAAAATGAGGCCCTGGGTTACTCTCAGGGGGCTTCCATTTCACTAAGGAATTGACACCAAGTATCCACATATACATCAAGCTTGTCTAACCCATGGCCTGTGGGCCGCATGTGGCCCAGGATGGCTTTGAATGCAGCCCAACACAAATTTGTAAACATTCTTAAAACATTATAAGTTTTTTTGCATTTTTTTTTTTAGCTTATCAGCTATCATTAGTGTTAGTATATTTTATGTGTGGCCCAAGACAATTCTTCCAGTGTGGCCCAGGGAGGCCAAAAGTTGGACACCCTGATATAGACACTAAACTAACAATTAGGTTCCACACAGGTGGTACCATTAGTATGTTAAGAATTTAAAAAGGGAGTGTGAGCTAGGCACTGTGGCTCACGCCTGCAGTCCCCATTACTCGGGAGACTGAGCTGGGAGGACTGTTTGAGCCCAGGAGTTCAAGATCAGCCTGGGCAATATAGTAAGACTCTATAGCTAAAAAAAAAACCTTAAAAATTAGCCAAGTCTGGACCTATGGTGTGGTGTGTGTCTGTAGTCACAGCTACTCAGGAGGCCGAGGTGGGAGGATTACTTGAGCCCAGGAGTTCAAGGCTGCAGTGAGCTATGATCTGACCATCAGGCTACTGCATTCCAGCCTGGGTGACAGAGTGATACCCTGTCTCAAAAAAAAAAAAAAAAGGTAGGGAGAACTGGAAGAATCCAGGAGGGCTTTTGCAAGGAGGCATGAGTTGGGTGTGAAACAGTAGGTTATATTTAAAGACGTATCTACAAGAAGGAGCAGTGTTCCTGGCATGGCCACCGCAGGAATAAAGGCAGACAATCCTGTGGTCAGGGTCGGAGAACGGATGAGCAGGGTGGAAACTGAGTGTACCTGTCAGAAAGGAGTGGGTAGGACAAGGTTTCCCAAATTTAAGACTTTTATCTGAGTACTGCCTGTGCTTTTATTTACTTAATATTTAAAAAATGGATCCTTTTATTTTCCACTTAGTCTTTTCTTAAGCCCCACTGTTCATGAAATCACAGGTTTGGAACATGTAGTTATAACTTTTCTTCATTCACATTAAAATAAACAGGGCTCTACAATGCAGAACGAAGTTCATTCCAGGTGCCTCTGAACATCATTGGTGATGTGGAGCCCACACTTTTGAAACACTGGAGTAGGAGAAAGTTTAGAAAACTGAGGTGAATTCTAGAATGCGTAAAAGCCAAGCTGAGATGATTATTCTTCAGATAATGAGAGATGTTTCAGTTGTGTTGACAAAGGGGGTTGCTTTAGAGAAAGCTCATTACAGAGAAGGAAAGATCGTGCTGATGCTTTGAAGTAAAATATATTATAACACTATTGCTATAGCTGGGTTTTCCAAGAACCAGTTAATAACACTACTCAGACTTTCATGTACATAAGAATCACTAAGGGAGGGTATATAAAAATATAGATCTATATAGATTTATATAGATCTATGTAGATAAAAATATAGATCCTCTGGCTCAACCTTGAGAGCTTTTGATGCTACACTTTAGAATAAGCTGGGAATCTATATTTTTAACCAGCTCTCCCAGAGATTCTGACTAGACTGGGCTTGCTTTGAGAAACACTGGACTAGAATAAAAATTGCAGGCCACAGAGGACTCCAGATAATTAATGGATCAAGCATTTGTACATAGATATGTCCTGAAATGTGACTGTATAACTTTATAATTTTTAAAGAAAGATTTAGAAGAATAATTATGTGAACTAGAAGTGTTGGGATTCATGTTAGAAGCAGAGGCGGAATGAATGCTGGATGGATTGGCATTGCATTTAGCACAGGGGTGGGAGGCAGGCGGAGCAAGGATTAGAGCTTGAAGGGCTGCGTGCAGGTGACAGCTGGCTGGCTCATTCACATTTTGGATTTTTCTCTATCATTGCTTCAGTAGTCTACATACTGAGCTCAGTTTCCTCTTTTTTCTATTGCCCTGCCTCTGAAGACGTCTTTGGTGAGTGTCACTCCCTTGCTGTATTCTGTAGAAGAGGCAGGCACTCAGAATCCAGAGGTATAGAAAGCCATCGTTTGAGAGGCAGTTCCCCGGGGCGGGGAAGTCTGGAGTCACACTGCTTGGACTTGAATCCCACCTCTACCATCTACCACTTACTTTCATGACCTTTAGCGAGTGACTTAACCTTCCGTATTTCCATTCTTTCCCCTGTACAAAGCGGGTGATAATGAATATGTATCCCTCTAATGAAATGGGGTGATTGTGGGGATTAAAATGAGTTAATACATGTA